AGGCGAGCACGGAGATGCATACGAGCGAGGACGAGCGTGTGGGGATCGGAGAGGATGTCCGGGGACGGAGGGGATTTAACGTCGTCCTTAGTTCTCGGACGGTCCGGCCTTGAGACGCAGCGACGCTCAATGCGAATACAACGTTGCCTCCTCCTGCACCGGAAACTGCAATTCTAACTGCCTAAGCTTGCCACGAGAAAGTCGTGGCCTGATCGAGGAAAACGGAATACGTCTTTTCGTTTTTCTTATTTGTTTCCATCGTTTCGTTTTACGTTAAAAAGGGGAGACGTGTTTTAGGGGGGGGGGGGAGGGCATACGAGAAAGTATCCAGTCAGAGTTTAATAATCTCTGTGTAATGTAATACGTTCGAGAGATGTACGATCCGAGGGAAAAGATCGTGCGAATGAAATAATATCGACGCGCAATTTTTGAGAGATTTAACAGTTTGTTGATTGAAGAGAGAGAGAGAGAGAGAGAGAGACGAAAAAGGTCTATAAAAGAACGATGATCTTCCATTCTTCGTTTCGCGAAGAGAGGCAAAATTAAAAATAGGTCTTGGTCGCTGCATTCGTTATTCGATCGACGTCCTAATGGCACTCGGCCAAGCTAGATTACGAATCATACGGAATGGGACGCGATGTTGGGAGTGTTGTTTCCCGAACAGACTTAGAGTCGCTCTGGTGAGCAACAAATATACGCGTATAATAAATAAATTAGTAGATAGACGAAAACAGTTGTATACCTATTTGTTTATACTCTCAGTGGTGCTGTGTATAAAGATGTGTTGAAAAACGGTACAAGCCTGATTATTGATTATTTTCAATAGATCCAATGCAGGAAATCGACGCAATATCTTTTGTCATTAACATTTTCGAAAATTTACGAAGCACATCAAATACCTATGATTTTGTGATATATTTTTTTTAATACTTTTCTATAAATTAGATAGACAAAACAGTTGTTTACTCGTTTGTTTACTCTCAATCGTGAGTGCTGTGTACAAATATCATCGAAAAACAGTACAATATTTTTTGTCATTAACATTTTTTGAAAACTTACGAAACATAACAATACCTATGATTTTACGATGTATTTTTTTTAATACCTTTTTTATAAATTAGATAGATAGACAAAACAGTTGTATACCTGTTTGTTTACTCTCAATCGTGAGTGTTATATTTTTTGTCATTAACATTTTTGGAAACAGTATGCTTACATAAAACGTATAAATACGCATGATCCAATTTTACGCTACGTTTTTCTTAAATACTTTTCACGTTTGCAATCATTGTTTATACTATACAGGATAAGAGTTTGTACTGCAAGAAAGGCTAGGGCCTGTCGAGGAAACTGTGTCGACCTGCGTGACGGGAAACATAGACCTGCACAGTCGTGACACCGTGCGCACTTGCGCGCGCGCGTCACGCCGTAAGGTTATTGTTCACGGAGGAAAGAGAGAGTATGCGTTGCATAAAACCCGTCCTCCGTCTCGTTTGCTCGCACCTCTCTATTCCGCAACACGCACACACGCCGTGCTTGTTTCGCCTATCCCCTTGCCTTACGTTACCCCCTATTCTCCACCAAGGTTACCAACACGGCTGCTGCTCTTCCTCCGCCTCCTCATCCTGCCGACTCTCCAACTCTCCGCAGGAGAGAAGTTGTACAGTCCGCTTGAGAAATGGCCGCTTGTGGAATGCGCCACGGAACTGGCCGCGGTTAGAATCGGTGCACTTGCCTCGCCTCGTGAAATCGTCACGTCGAACCAGGCGAATTTACGAGCGAGGGGAGAGAGAGAGAGAGAGAGAGAGACGTGTTACGTTAGAGGGTTGCAGCGCACACGGCCTGGAAATAATTCAACGGCTCCGCTGGCGCCACAACGATAGGTCGTCTCGTTGAAACGATTACAGTTAGGATTTCCGTGAAATCAAGCGGCGGCGATTGGTGCCGTTTCCACCGTGCCTGTTACGTAACTCGATTAATTGACGAGCACACGAAAGTACGGTTGATAGCTGGACGGGATCGAATTTTGCGCTTGTCGTGATCGAATGCAGGCACGTTTTATTCGAGATAGGGTGGGGAGGGGGAAGTGTTCGTTCGTTTCGAGCGCCCTCTTTCGAGCATTTTTCGAACTACGAATTTAAAGAGGTTAAGCGGAGAATTTCTTTGAGATGATTAATTGATAAAACTGTTTCATTAACGAAGGAATGTTCGGCTGAAGAGAAACCAAACACATCCTGAGATCTACATTTTTATGGGTGGCGATAATTGGCGACGGACGAGCGGATAACGAGTGGTGTTCGTCACGGTCGTTAGGACGATTTTAGGGTGGCGATAGAAAAAAAAAAAGGAGTTTTGTCAGAAGTGGGATTCGAACCCACGCCCACAGAGTGGACTGCGACCTGAACGCAGCGCCTTAGACCGCTCGGCCATCCTGACGTGTCTCATCGCCTCGTTTAAAAAGAAGAAATCGACCGGATCTGTCGTACTATGGCTGAGAAACTGGTCTGCCGTACTAAATTTACCCGGCAGCTAGGCGAAAATAGCTCTGTAAGAAGCGGCCGTGGAAGCTTTCAACCGATGCACCGGCGAACGGGTTTCTTTCTTCCCTTTTTGCCTGCCCATTATTCCGTCTCTGGTGAACATACTATCCGATATCGTGTCCCAACATGCTTTCGAGATGGGAATGCAGAAATTTGTATCGTTTTGCATTCGATGTAGGATAAACTGGCCAATTTATTCACCTTTCGAGACGCGTTTGCTTATTAATTTTAAACGATAAACGCGAAATATTTACTTCTTTCACTTGTTTCACCGTATATTATATTTAATCTTCTTAACGACGAGACCAATTTTTTACTAAAAAAAATTCCCTTCAACGATTTTTCGTACTCTCCACTCTTCTGAGGACAGATCGGGATATCTGCGATTCACTATATATACAATTTTCATAGGAAGCAAAAAACATCCTTTTTTTAGATTCGAATTTTTCAGCTTAACGATCTCTTCTTCCCTACTTGTGCACTCTCCTCGTATTCCCGAAATAAATAACGGGCCCCGGGACGAAGTTTCGGAAAGGCGGTTCAGGCTGGCACACATATACCATAAGCGGCCGATTCGGTGTCTCCGTTCTCCCCTATGCTAGCGCGTAACCTTGAGAGTCGTTCAGTCGACGGCCATCTTGCCGCGATGCACTTTTGTTTTTTGCCTGTCCAAGACTCGCCAGTCTCGCTGCCGTCTCCCCTCTCCCCCCTTCTTTCTCGCTCCGTTCCTAGCCACCGACGATCGCCCCATCCTCCTTCGTCCAACCATCCTTCGAACCTCTCCTTCTCTCCCTCTACGAACGCCGGTTTGCCATTCTTTCTGCATCGCGCGCTCTCTCTCTCTCTCTCTCTCTTTCTCACTCACTCTCCCCACTATTCCTGTCTTCCTCTCCTCCTGGCTCGCTCGCTCGCACGCACGACTCGACTCCTCTTCCAGCGTGGTTGAACATCGGCGCTGGTGTTCTCCATCCGTTCGTCCTACATGCCTCCTACCACAGATTGCCGGCAAAGAGAATGCAGGCAACCTCCGCGCAGCTTCTCCTCCCCGCCTCCCTCCTCCCCGTGTCTCCTCCTCGTCAGACGCTGACGCGTTCCTTCGTCCAACGGCCTGGCTGGCCGTCCGAGGGCATGGCAATCGCGAAATTTCAAAGGGATACGAGTCGAATGATCTGCATGCGTGCGCGCCCATGCGGTGATGTTGTGCACGGGTGGTTGGTTAAAATGGAAGGAATCGCGCAATGGTTTTTATTACGCCACCGGCCCGACTGTTCCACTAGCCCAATTTTCAAGGTGGCTCACGTTGGTCACGTGGCCAACGTGCTCGATGCACGTAGAACGGTCTGTGGCACCTGGAGCCTGAAACCGAGACTCCTCTATTTTAGGGGAGGACTGGATGATTACTCGCAGATCTCAAAATATGATCGAATATTTTAAGTAATTTTAAAACGGACGAGTTATTCGTGCTCGTGGATGATTGGTTTTAATTAATTAGGAAGAATGGGTGAGATCCGTATGGGGTTCGCACAATAGGTGGATACTTTTTCGATTGGCAGATGTGGGAAGGAGGACTGGCACGACTTTAGAAAACGCGTACAATAAAACTAGTTGCGTTCGCGATGATATTCAGCAGCTTTATTCGGACCATTGAGTCACTCGCTATAAATTAATAAAGGCTCTTGTTGTTTTGACGGTGAAATGCAATGGCTATTGACCAACAAAGCAATGAACTCGTCCGTGTGTCGCACAATTTCTGAAACCTTATCGTCGCTTTTGCCTCACGAATGTTTTTCTATTCAGCCAGAAGCGTTGTCAACACTTTTCAACCTAACTATGAAACTCGATACAAAAGCCGGTACACGCGAGTGGTGGACTCTGTCGTCCCTCTGCAAATAGTTGGCAATGTCGTACATTTTAAAAAAGAAATAAAACAACAAAAATTTTGTCCCTATTATTTATTCTTCTGTATTTTAAATATCGTTAGAAGAAAAAAGAGAAACGATACCACTCGCAAAGCTTGATGATCCTTTAAGATTATATCGATAATAATAAATCACCGGTAAAAAAAAAAAAATAAATAAATAAATAGTAGCCAAACGATCTCGATCTAATCCTTAATTGTCTCACCTATCGTCTTCACTTAATCGTCCATTAACTCATCTACCAATAATCGATTGCCAAAACCCCACTCTCCGATTCGCTAAGCTAAAAAAAAAAAACGTTAATCTCCCGTCGTAGGTGATCGTTCGCTTAAACCCACGTAATACGCAGCTCTGCACTTATCATCAATGGCTCTCTCGGCAGCGAAAGATTGCGAAAAGCGACTCGTGGAAAAGAAAGATTGGAGAGCGCGCGCGGCGACGCGTTGCATGACTCGAGGCAGCGAATTTCGGTGCGCGACCAGTGATAGGGCAGTGGCTCGACCGTGGCGCCACTGTCGAGGACGGTGGCCGAGTCAGGAAGCAGTCGGCCGGCGCATAAGCGGCGTCGGGCGCCGCAGTCGCGCGCTTGCACTCTCAGCGGTGAGCGGAGTTTGTAACGTGCGTAATAGCTCTAAAACGTCTTCTGGTCTGTTTTGTTTGGCCGTTCGCGGCACGGCAGCGGGAACGTCAGCCCCGGTGTATATATCTTCTTCGTTCATCGATTCCCCGTGCCCGTGTGTCTCGTTGTGTCTGGAGCAACCGTCGAAAGGGAGAATAACATATAATCGACTAGGAGTGGAGAGACAGAAACGGAGAGAAAGAGAGAGAGAAAGAGAGAGAGAACAAGCAGCCGTAGTAGGAACATCGTGTGCACACGCGAGACTAACGTCGCTCCCCTTTCACCGATACACGATCAACGAGCACACGAGTGACTGTCGTCGATGAAGAAGTAAAACGGATAGAAAAGTGCACGACGTTGGGAGAAACGACGGGGAATCGACGACGGTGGTGGTGTGTTCAAAGGGAATATATCCAATAGGGCAGACCGAAAACGACGCGGACGGTTGGTCGTGGTTTCGCGAGGCGAGGCGAGGCCGGCCGTTGTAAACCGGTGCTCTTCTAGGATTCGTCGTGAGTCGTTCGATTCGTGGTGTATATATCGTATATAACAGACTTGGTTGGCCGGTTCACGGGAGATCTGATCGGAAACCAGTGACGTGTGGTACACGTGTTATATTATAATAACGCAGTGCAAGTGTTTCTCTATTTGGCCCTGCCGCCTGTGTTCCGACAGGAGACCGTGCCGCTCGCTGACCACTGCCGGTTCATCGTGTACACGTCGTTATGTGAGTACTCTGTTTAATATATACGTAGAATAGATATTTGTTATGTTTCTCTTTTTTAAGTCGTCGGTTGTCGTCTTATTCTCGTTTGTTTCTCGAGGCCGAGTGTTATACATACGTATATAATCTTCGTCGCGTATCTATCGCTCTTTATGGGGCACTCCACGGTTTTGTTTACGTCTGTCGCGGGGCAAAGTGAGGTAGGTTCGTGAACGAATGTGCGCGCGAGGTCAGATCGGGGACCGGGAGTGGGTCGACGATGTGTTGGTGCGTGTGCGCGCGCGCGCGCTCCTACGCCGCGCTCTCTCCCTCGTCACGTTCAATTTATGCGCCGGGATAAACTTTGCTTTCCTCCCTTCGCTACGGGGATACGTTCTTTCATTAATTCTCCACATGTGATATTTATCTTTTTATTATATATTCGATATGCAGTCAATCGGGAAACCTAATATCTTTTTAATAAAATTCTTAATGGATATTTGTTAGTTCTTTTTTTTTTATTGTACATTGATTATTATTAAAAGTTAAAATTAATAAAATAGATCAATGTTATTTAATTTTTATCCACGCTATATGAATATTTTTTTTCTTTAATCCTTCAATTGCATTTTATATATTCGACGTTCAAGTAAATATTTCACTGCTTGAACATTTTTTTCTCTTCTTCTTCTTCTTCTGTTATTCATGCTTGTTAATGATCTCTTGACACGAAAAAGAATATTTAATAGCACATTTGAATTCATTTGAAGTGGGTGTCGTATTAAAAAAAATTATAGTTCACAACCACTCAAACTTCCATTTATTTTATTCCTCGAACATTATATTACATATTATATTTACAGAATTAGCTTTTTCATAGGGTAATAAAATCAAAAAAGAAATTCGGAATACGAAACTTAATGATGATCATCTACGTTCTTAGGATTCTTCGCATTAGACACGAATTTCCAATTTTGAATGAAACTAATCAAATTTCTCGCATCCAATAATTAACCTATCAATAATTAAAATATCGTAGCATTTTCTACACAAAATTATCTTCTCAAAATTTTCTCTTTCGTGCGGTAAATTGTGAAAACGTACATATTTTTTCATCGTGTACATTTATCGCGTTACACACATTGTATCGTCGATACATGTCATTCGTGCCAGTGAATGAAACGAAGGTGAACGATTCGCAAGAGTCGAGAGTCGGATTCCAATTCACTTTCGATTCTTCCCGTAAATAGCGAGAGGCGCGTATACCCGCGATAAATATCGGCCGAATGTATCGCGAGCCCACCTCCACGAAAATAGAATGCGATCTAAAAATAATACCGCCCTATCGGCAACGAATGTGTGCATGGGTCTGTTGAACTACACTACGCTTATCATGCTCTATGGTAAATTCTCTCGAAGATGGAATTCTGACGTCTCGCCTCTCTGGGGCTGTGACACGTCGGATCATTCTACTGTCATCTTGCCGCGCTTTTTTCTTTCTTTCTTTCTTTTTTCGTTCGCGCTTCTATAAAGTAAAGCACAAGTTATAAAGTGTAGGAAAAAAAAAATTTTTCTTTTTTTTTTTGCGCGCTTTTGACTTTATTCATGTTCATGGTATCGCGATTTGTAGCTCATGCGCTATTTGCATATGCAATAATTATTGTGAATAATTGTATCAAAAATATACATATATTTGAGATATAGATATTATAAATAGATATTCATAAATATTTACAGAATACATGTTGTTTGAGTCGCAATTTCTTTTCTTCATTTCTTTCTCATTTTTAACAAATATTTGCCTGAAAGCTTAAAGAATAAAAAGAGTAGTAGTATCGGAGTTTAGAATTCTTAAATTTCTCGCTTTGTTATTTTATTTAATATTATAAGTGTGATAATTAAATTCGTGTAAATAATTTATCTTATAAATATCGTGCAATATTTTCAAACTCGAAATATTCAACGGAGAAAAATATCCAGCCATATATCTATCGTGAAATGTTTCCGATCGAAAACATTTCTTCTTTCGTTTCTTCGTTAAATCTTGATTAATTGAAGGCAACGATTTTTCTCTTTCTCTCGAGAAAACGGAAAAGAAAAATGAACGGATGATCGGTATTATACGTATCATGCGACACGTATCTTCCTCCAGCCGTGTTCCTCAACGCAACGAGTCCGTTCCTATTTACAAATTCAAATTTAACGACCGCCGGCCGCCATCGCTTCGAAATTTAAATCTACAGATATCGTTACTGATTGAAACGATCTCTCGGGATTGGAAACGGTAGTTGACGCTTGCCCGATGAATTTTAGAATCGCACCATCGGCATAAATCGATCGATGTTTTTAAATCAAGCTGTTTCCTTTTCTTCCCCTCCCCTCCACTTTTTTCTTCTCTTCTTTTCGATTTATTTAATTGAGGCAGGTTAAGGATAAGAGGTAAATTTTTTCGAGGTAGATGGTCTCGATGAATTTAGCCTGGCACGATAAAATAACATTTCGATCACAAATTATTCCTTTTGCTTTTTGTCGCTTTTTTGCTCGGGAACTTCACACCCGATATTTGAAATATAATAAGCAGAAAGTTTGGAGGCTGGGAAATTCTTCAATACTTGTAATTGTAATTTATTCACTCTCACGTTTTTTAAAATATTACACTTGATTTCTGATAAAGAAATGGAGTTCGGATAATTCTCAATTCACCCTTATCATATCATCCTCTTTCTTATTTTTTTTAAATCTTGTAAAAAATAAAATAGAGACGTCGAAAGTGACAATATTCCAAGGATTCAAGGACCGTTATAATTAACAATATAAAAACAAAAGAGAAAAAAAAATAATTCGTTGGAACAACATCTGATATATCAACCATGCCTCCATCGATCACACCACACAGCTCTAATCGCACGATTGCATCGATCTGAAAAAAAAAAAATGTTTACAAACTCGCGCGTTATTGATTGATCAATCTAGCAAAAAAAAAAAAATTCGAAGAAAAGATTGCACTATACTTCTGCGGCGCGACACTCTCTCTGCTGCTCGTCTTGAGCAATCTCGAGTCTCGCCTCTCCTTTTCTTTCTCTCTTCCTTCTTTTCCAACGTTACACCAAGTATATTTCCTTGGAACGTGAGTTGAAGTGTTTCGCGGAGCCGGTGGTTTTATCCGATGGTTGTATCGATAGCGACCGATAAGGCAGCACGGCCACTGGAGGAAGGCTGTGATAACAGCCGTGCATTATCACGGTGCGCATCCACACGGCCTCCAGTTTCGTGTCGCGTCACGAGAATGGGACGAGAGCGATAAACACACGAGGCAACGTGTTTTATACCGCCATGGGCGACGAGTTTTCTTCTTCCCTCCACACTTATGGGCAACGCGCTTGCACACCAGTGTGCACGGTTACGTAACCATCTCCACTCGAACAACAGCCTTTGACGTTTCGATTTCTACGCACGTTCCTCTGCTTGGAAATTTTTTTTCATTTCTCTGGAATTTGGGGCCAGCCTATCGAAAGTTGCAATTAGGCCGAATGACTCTTCTCTTTTTTCCCTTCCTAGCTCTCTTGGTCGACGTCGATGGTTGTTAAATTGTGTGTTCTTTTACGAATATACACTCTTCTTGTGTAATATTTTTATTTCCCTTCCACATTTGTTCACATTAATTGATCTCTGAAAAAATTATTCTCGCGTGCTTGCAATTGGTAATTTTCTAATTAATCTTGAAATTTAAAGTGACAGCTTTTGTTACATAGCTTTCAAAAGTATTTCTGTCTTACTTAGAATTAGTTGTGTTGCTTGTATTTAAAGTTACTTGAATTTGAATTGAGTCGTCTGGTTAATTCGATCGACGTTTTGTGAACAATCATGAATGTATGTAATGTAATGGTGAATAGAATTGTAAACGTATGCACACGGGATTTTTATAAAAGTTTCTTTTCTGTAAATTTGAGTTTTTTATGCTTCTGTGTGTATTTTTAGATTTGTTAAAGAATATAACGTGAATGAATACACAGGATAAAAGCAAATACAGTTTTTAAATGGGATTCTTTATTTTTTATTCTTTCTTATCTAAATCTGAACTTTCTTACATCCGATCATTTAAAGGGATAAATGAATCTTCGTTTTCTTCTTTCGAATATAAAATACTCCTTTTTGTATACTTTCTTTCTGCGAACGAGCGTTCAAATATATATTTGAAACCTTTAACTCGATGCAAATGAGGCAAAGATTTTGTTGTATCTAATTCTTTTAAATACATACATAAATTTAAATATTAATTTGAATTTTAAAAATCATGCACACAAGTTCGGATTGACGCAAGTTAAACGCCAAGTTTGCATCTAATAATAAAAAATTAATAAATGTATACATATAAATCTTTAACAAATTATTAAATAATTTCTCTCTCTGTTGATGAATAAAGAAATAAATTTAACATACGAATTTTTTTTTCGTATTAATTTTTATATAAATAAGCTCGAACATAAATATTCTTTTCAAAGTTTTTTTTATTCGCTGGTCTCGTCTGGCCGATCGTGTATTCCAAAATTTTTTTATATCGAATATAATAGAGACTCGAGCGAGGCCAAGGTGTTGAGGGAGCTAAAAAACTTTGTTTCTCGTTCGACGGTCATCTCAAGAGGTCTTTAACCACTCTCGTGAAGTGAAATTTACTTCACGTGTTAAACGTCCAAGGTCGTGTTACTTATAACAAGCCTAACAATAAAACCGACGTACATTCACATAGGGTGACCAGAAAATGATGATTCCACGGTTCTAAATAATAGAGTCGAAAATATTTGTATTTTTGAGTAGATCAAATTTTAAAGATATTTCGAATACGAATGTAATTGTATAAATTGATCGATGTTTGAATCACCGTCTGGTTAATATAACATATTGCTTAATACAACGATTTGCAGAGACATTCTGTATATGTATAACGACTGACGGAGATTTAGTGGCGGCGAGGAAAGGAACTTTTTAACTTCTTTTCGTGAAAAATTGCGGGCTGGAGGAATCAG